ATCTGTTGCTGTCTAAGAACAAAGAAATTAGTTTTCTGTTCTTACCAGCATGAAGCTCTTTTCTTAGGGGAGGAAGCACAATTATTTTGCTGTTACCCAATGCTACAACACCAACCAACAAATTAATGGTGCCGCTCTCCTAACTACAAAGAGCAGATAAAGTGATTCTGAGCATTACATCCTTAGCTACATTAACTCAGCTTCCCCACGGGCGCTTGCCACAAGACATCAACTCTGCGTTCAAATTTAAGCTTCACATTGGTAACTGAGCAGGGAAACAAACTTTTATTTTATAATAAAACAGGATTTTATCAGAGCGCCAGTTTTATTTTATATATTTTTATCGGAGTGCCAGTTTTTATTTTACATATAAAACGGGATTTTATCAGAGTGCCAGTTTCAGTATCTGCAGTACCTGGAGAATAAAGAAAGCAAAACAAACTGAATGGCCCCTGCCATGCAGTGAAAGGAGGCTGAGGGTGCAGAGTTACAGTGACATTTATGAACGCAGTGGTCTCAGAAGGGGAAGTCTAAAACGCAGCTCTGGAACAGTCACATATAAACCACAGAGATAACTGAAAGATGCTGAGTTTGATAACAGGCTCAGCAGATGAAAGGAAAATTGAGGAACAGAATAGAAGCTTATGAGTGACAACCCAGTGGTTAGCTATGCAATAGTACCATTCCCAAAGGATTAACAGGAATGTGTACCATGCAGGGCTCTGCATGTCCTAGTAAAATATTGATTATCTGCTAGCAGGAGGCAACGCGTTTATTTTAACTCAGTCACTCTTCTGCAGTGAGAGAGAACAAACATGCCTCTTGCAACCTGTTCAGTGACGATGTAATCTGTTCCAGGCAGTGATTTCACACTGACCATTCAAAGTTTCAGACACAGCTGTATTCAGACAATACAACTGAGGGGATATTACTGTAAAATGAACAAGTCATTTTGTGCCTAGGCCAAGGAAAACAGCAAAGTCCTGTTTGAATCCAGGAACTTCTAGTGCTCATGATCATTAAAGACGGAGGCAGTTCCTGAATAAAAGGTACAGACAAGCCTCCAAACAAGCTCAGAGCTCTCCCTTTAAAATAGAAACTCTGTCCTGCAGTCAAGCTTATTCTCATAAACACTGTCTGCTATCGTAACCCATTCAAATGGATATTCCTCTTCAGCCTTTACAAAGAAAGATTCTAAGAAGCTTGTATTTTCTACTGACAGTCTAAAACATGTCTAAATGGGGAATTAATGTCTTGTTCTAATTGCACTAAATAGTGCAAAAATATCTTCCCTCTAATGTTACTGGACCGTTTCCTAAGGAAACGAGAGTTACACAGACTTGTTATGAAAGCTTCTACGTTCCAACGAGTTTTGTGGAAAAATTACAGCTAGAAGAGAAACCCCTACCAGCTGCCATCCCTGGAAAGTCTGCAGCCACCTGGCTCTCATGTACCAACCAATCCAGACAACTCGGAACCAACTGCAGGCAGGACATGTGCTGCCTTCTGTCCAGCCACAGTTAAGGGCAAAGGAAGAGAGCTGAGGGCACAGAGGAGAAACACACATGGTAAATGAAGGAGGCTACCTACAAGCCTGCTTATCATAATTATAGGGAAAGGGATCAGGCATTATTGCAGAAGGGGAATGCGATGTAGAGCCAAGGGAAGAAGGGCTTCCTTAGTGCATGGTCACAGAACAACGTTCCTGTACTGCAGCAATGGCTGGAGTCCTCCATCAAGCTTCGTTCTGCCAAGCATCACACAAGTGTCTGCATCAAGCCTGCAAAACCTTGAACTGAGCAGAAAGATCAACTCCTTATATTTTCATAGGTCTTCAGACTCCAAAGAAAGATACAAAAATCTCTCTATAACAACACATTTCCTAAAGCTAAAGATCTAAATGCACAGAGGTAATTTTCAGAAAGAAAGAGGACTCGCAAATCACTTGCTCAGACAACATGAATATACTCCAAGAACTGATCACTAATCTAAGCAGATGCCTACAGTGACACAGGCTAGTTATGACCTAAATAGTGCTTATAATGAAAACCTGAAGTGTTTTCAACCTTGCTGTGGTGGGTTGACCCTGGCTGGACGCCAGGTGCCCACCAAAGCCGCTCCATCACTCCCCCTCCTCAGCTGGACAGGGGAGAGAAAATACCATGAAAAGCTCACGGGTACCAGATAGTGACAAGGAGAGATCTCTCACCAATTACCATCACAGGCAAAAAAGACTTGACTTGGGGAAAATGAATTTAATTCCTTACCAATCAGAGTAGGGCAATGAGAACTAAAATCAAAACTTAAAAACACCTTCCCTTCACCCTCTCCTTCTTCCCATGCTCAACTTCACTCCCAATTTCTTTACCTCCTGCCCCACCAAAATGCAGAGGAACAGGGAACGGGTGTTGTGGCCTGTTCATCACACATTGTCTTTGCTGCTCCTTCACCATCACGAGAAGGACTCCTCATACTCTCCCTCTGCTCCAGCATGGGGTCTCTTCCCATGGGAGCCAGTTCTCCATGAACTTGTCCCACGTGAGTCCTTCCCACAGGTTGCAGTCCTTCAGGAACTGCTCCAGCATGGGTCCCTCCTGTGGTGTGCAGTCCTTCAGGAACAGACTGCTCCAGTGTGGGTCCCTCACGGGGTCACACATCCTGCCAGAAAACCTGCTACCACCATCACTGATGGGCTCAGCCTTGGCCAGCAGTGGGTCTGTCTTGGAGCAGGATGGCATTGGCTCTGTGGGACATGGGGAAAGCTTCTGGCAGCTTCTCACAGTAGCCACACCTGTAGCCCCCTGCTACCAAAACCTTGCCATGCAAACCAAATACACGTGCCTTTTCTAAAATACAGTTCTAAATCTGGACTTCCAAACTGGGTCAAGCCTACCACAACATTTTTTTCTGGAAATACATGGAATAGGAATAAAGTCATATTTCAGGAGAGGTATTTAAGTTAATATACTTTTCCATCCATCACTGTAAATACACACAGAAAAATTATTCGAAACAGGCTACGGCAGCCTTAAAAATGTTAAAACCTATTTAAGCTGCTTTTAATAAACTTTACTGAGTCTGTAAAAAGAATTATATCACTCAGCTGTACATAGTCTGCCTCAATTCATGCCGTGGATTACAATAACAATGCTATAATTATAATGACTGATGTCATCTGATGACACAGATTTCTGGCTCTTTATCCAGCCTTTGAAAAGACACTGGAACTGCGATTGTACAAAAGATACTGGCCACCTAATGAACACCAGCTACAAACAAGTCTGTCCACCAAGCCAAACAGAAAAGGAACAGCAATTGTTGGCTTGGTATGGAATGGGTATTTTTGGCCTGCATATTTCGATTTAAATTTCCATTTGATTATCGGGTAGAAAATTTCAGAAATTATAAGAGTTGTAAGCTGAAAAAAGATCCATAAATGCAAAAAAGGAAGATGGGCATGTAAAAGACCAGTGCTGCATATACTTCTAAATGACTCTCTCCTCATCCAGCACAAGATGAGCTTTGACATCTAGTAACGAAATGAAGAATTGATTCCAGTACTCAATGCTCTTCTGCCATCGATCTGGACACTGTTCTCATTTTCTTCATCTCCTCCTGCCATTCCAAGGCAATTAAAACAAACACCTAGACGTAGGCAAGATAGAAACTAGCATCAACTCTAATGTCCAACAGCGTATTATCTGCTGAATCACAGACATGGCGATAAAATATAAACAGTGGCACCATTAAAACTGTGACATTTATCGCGTTGTGCTATCTATCTTTAAACACAGTATTTGCTGAAGCTCCTAAAATTAGAAGGGAACACACTGCAAATACCATGGTAACTACTTGGCATGGTAAATCAAGGTCCTTAAGGCTCCCACACAGACTTATTGCTATTGTGACTAGAGTTATCCAAACAGCACCTAAGCATACTTAGTACTTACCAAGCAGGAACGTTACCTTGGATTAAGCTAAGAATAAAACCAAGGGTTTACTTGCTCAAAATAGCACCAAGATTTTTCTGATGTTAATGAGTTGCTCAAAACCACTTTAAAAATAATTTTGTTTGTACTGCACATTGTAAAGACAAAGCTGGGCTGACATAAGTCTGATTTTAAAACACAAACAAATTGCAGTTTGCAGAGAGACCTCCCTCTAAACAGTTTAGGAAAAAGCAGAGAAGATAAAAAAAAGAAAGAGAGAGAAGGTACAAGGGAAGAGCTTACACACTGAAGGAAATAAAGATGTTTGAGGTTGAATGAGATCATCCAGAATCTTTGGAAAATACCTGCTTGCTGGATTTCATGTCTCCGCTTTGTTTTATAGCATGTTCAATGATAAATTGAGGGTACTGTTTACTTATTCAATAAAGGCAGGATGGAATAATACATTCTTCAGCCTTCTGAGAGTAGTTGATATCTAAAGAATTGTGCCTCCAGCCTTTGCTTTCAAGTCAGACATGGATACATTGCTCATCTTGAAAGCAGATAATCCCTCGAGCCGTTGTTACGTTGACTTTCCAGAACCCAAAGGAGACTGGTAGTGTCACAGACAAATGACAGACAATTAACTACCATTAACCTTTGCTAGTCAAACACTAGTAGCAGGTCACAGCAATAGGTCACAGGTAGTTTGCTTCGTCTTTTATACTACAAAGAATTCTGAATGTATGTCTGTTGTCCAGGAACAAAAGTCAGAGAGTTCAAGATTTTCCTTTCTTTTTTAGCTTTCTCTAGAAACATCAATACAAAAGTGTTCACAGAGCAGACAATTTATATCTACACAAGTAAGACATATGAGACGAACAGGTGTGCACTACGTACACTGTTAAAGACATCAACCCACCAGATGCACACACGACGATGAGTGGAAATAAAACCATCATACAACACAGGTGATGTGGGAACGCATACTGACAGAGAGAACACAGCTGTCGAAGCACAGATTGTACAAACAGGCAAAATGGGGCTGAGAGTCCTTGTCAGAGCACTTACAAGTAAAACTTCTCTTCCCATACAGGATTCAGATTCCCAAAAATCGTTTTTGTCCTCTTCTTCGTTTTACCCACTTGAACGGTTACGTACGGATCGCTGGAGCCAGTCTTGTCTTTGGCCTGCAGACCCTGAGCACACACCACTGGAAGGAAAAGAGAAGGGTTACCACCACTGTTCAATAAGACAATGTGTCCACACACCATGTGAAGCAGCAGCTTAGAACAGCCAGAGAAAAAGGAATATCACTCAAGAGAGCTTTTCTGATGAGTCTCAGCTCGTGGTGCACTATAGGGCCTGGGGTAGGAGTATCTCCGCCTGCTACCTGTACACTGAGCAGAAAGAGACAGAGGTCAGAGAAGCCCTTCTTCTCCCTTCTCTCTAGCTTCGCACCAACTCTCTCTTACCTTGGACTCCCCAGTGAGGCCAAGAGAACCCATGCCTCCCTCACTCACCAGTGATTGTGATCTTTGCTGACCATTTTGAGGTGCCATCAAGCACGCTCTGCTTCACTGTCTTCATCTGCTGAGCATGTGTCAATTTGCTCTCACAGAACACATCTCTTATCAAGTCAAAGATCTCTGGCTTGTTCCGCTCCCGGATTTTCATGCGATCTTTCATTGCCATGATGAAATTCTGGGTTCGGTCTTCAGCTCCATGCTTCGAGCTCTTCTCCGCTGCTCCTGTGCACCAGAAAGTACACAAAGCTTATCAGAAACAGGCAAACACAAAGTCATGTTTCATTGAATTTGGACCGCAGGATCAAAGCCATGACGGCTCTTGCTACTGACTTTTATAGTCAGACTCCCCTCATTTCAACAAAAACACAAGGTAATCTGGATCAGTCAGAGCTAGGAGAGGATAACAGAAGGTGAGTGCCCAGATTTCTCTATAACCTGGGACTAGGTTGCTCCCCTGACAACAGGCCTGAGTTTAATACCCTTGCAGCTGAGGAAGACCCAAAAATGAGGTTCTTTAACAGCAGACATCAGCATGTCCCCTCCTCTCATCACCTTGCTTTGAATAAATAAATCCCTGCTTGGGCACGTACTAAGAAGTGGACATAGGACCTGCATTACAAATAGCATCTATGAGCTTGTCTCAATGATGCACCTCAGCACCACAGAAGAGCGGAAGCTCAGATGGACCAACATAGTCAGCATTTCCTACTGATGTGTGCCACAGGATTCCCCATTCCACACAGAGTCATTGCATAATCCATGTCCTATTCTTCTGTCAGGAACCACTCTGTCTGGATCAGGCCATCAAGCTGAAGGCATCTGAAGTGCCTCTCTAGATCCCACTCTATTTTATTAGCTTATAAGGAGACAACTCAATCTATTCTTAGAACTTCATAGGCATAGTAACTACAAATACCTATAAGGTAGCAAATCCAATAGTTAAAAACTTGGGCCACCAGAAGTATGGGGCACTAGTACAGTATCTAGCAGCTGGAATCACAAGAGCCACGCACAGGGCTTTGTACTACACAGGTATTTAACTGTAACTGGAAAAGGAGAGGCCTCTGGTCACTTGCGTACCTCTTACAAAATTTAAAAGTTCACATAATTACGAGATAAGAATGCTCTCACAACCAGCTACTCCCTATTCAATTTTGACAGTCATGTTTGCTGTCAAAATTCAGCCACTGTTATGTCAGATGTGAGGCACGTGGTCATGAAAGCACTGACATGAGCTAACAGGGCAGACAAACCACGGTGTGAAGTGAAAAGTAGGAACTCAACGCTTCACACAGTCTCTACGTGCAGTCTGCAGTGATTTCAAGTTATGATCTTAAATCAGATTAAGTTAAACCAGTACAAAAGTCCTGTGAATACATTCAATCATGATATTTCTGTTTAATTTAATACACTTTTGCTTGTTTTTCTTTTCTAGGATAGCTTAATTAAAGTAAGCTTTGTCCTAGAAAAATTATCTTCATCCAGGTGTTCACTAAATATCCAATTACCTTAAAAATAAGCATCAAGAAGGTGCAAGCGTGTGCGAAGAGAGCCATCAGTCACAAAGATACATAAAACTGTTTTCTTCTGGAAGAAGTGGGCAAATATGACATCTGGAGCACCTTTAATGTAATGCATGACACCTTTGCATATGAAACAGTTTCAGCAGGCAGTGACCAAATATGAATAAAATTCTATGAACACATACGCATGAAGGACCCCCAGCAGTACAACATAACGGGCAACCTTGTTAGCAGGCTCGACAGGGTGCCCAGTGACTAACACTGCCTGAAGACATCCATTTCTAGGGCCTTCAATCTAACACCTTCCACCGTTACTAAACTCACTTCAATAAAGAAACAAAACTCAATTATAACTTCCACCATCCGAATCAAAAAGAACAAAAACACAGTTTGGAACAGACTGTGACTGCTGAAGTTTCAGAAGTTCATTAAGGACACTGCATACCAAGGCATGCTATTAAAGACCTGAGCATAAAACAAGCCGTAACGCCGCATTACAATTATTTTTTTCATTTTACTTGCTAAAGGCTTGATGTTCGGTATTTCATTTAGTACAATAAAATGTACCTATCCCAGAGTTTCCTATTGTTGGCTTAAGATGAAATGGAATCAAAATACTGGAATTAATTACGCAGTCCCTGCTGTCTCTACTCGCCAGTGATGAAGAACTAGCACCACCCAAAGCGATGTCTTCTATCAGGCAATCAGCCGGCGGTGGGCCCAATGTTTATTAAAGGACCGAAATGATACCAGGGGCTACACTTTGAACTTCAGATAAGAAGTGCTACTCAGCTTTAACAGAACTAAGTCTTCTGGGGACGGAGGTGGACTCTACACAGTATATGCAGAGCTACAGAGAATTACTGGGAAATTGGGAAAGGCCAAGCTGAACAATTTGTCTTTCCTAGCTGGAATTCTGAAATCTGTAGTGATCCAAAGAAACCAATCCTGCCCTGACCTTTCTGACTTTAAGGAAATTAAGAAGCAAATTCAAACATTTAAGAGTTCATGTTGTGCACAAGTGGAGCACTCTATTTCAGAACCATTTGCTAAATAAATTACCAGCCAGGCAACTTGCAAACATAAAACGTTTCACTGTTCATCACTGATATGGGACAAGAGTTATCACAGTTTTGGAGTGGCATGGTCTGCGTCATTGTCTTAATGCAAGTATTCCAGATGCATCAAATAACGCTTTAGAACGCAAACTTGGACAAATGGAAGAATTCCAGTTAAAAACATGTTTAGTATCCTCAGGACCTCCAGAGACTTTGCATAGTGGGGCCATTTAATCCTCTGCAAGGCTAGCAGCAGTCCAGGGTATTCTGGGCTGCAGGCCAAGCAAGCCATGTTACATAGACACCTAGAGAGCCCTCTCTTTTGTCACTTCTGAGGCTTGGCTCTGCTTTCTGACTTTCAGACAAAACCCTCCCACCTTCGTCCATGCTGCTGTCCCACTCTGCCCAGATAATTTAATTTGCCCAAGCAAGAAGGGTCTGTCATTCCTTCCCTGGGAAAGGTCTCTCTTCCTGCAGAGATTGCATTTGAACTGCAGTGCGAAAGCCAGAATCAGACACCTTATTTAACAGTATGGATTAATAAAGACAAGAAAAACCCTCCCTCTCGATAACACACTCTTTCTTAATTTTAACAGCTGCTTGTTGGTACAAAGCCCCCAGAGTTTCCAAAATAACCATCAGGCTACTAATTGCCTATAATGTGTGTGATATAAACCCAAAGCATGTCACTGTACTGGATGGCAGAGGGTGCTTTTCCTGCTGTTGGGCTTGGATCGTATTTATTCAGCTGCAAAAAGAAGGGTTTGGCGAGTGAACCTGCTTTTCAAGTAGTCCTGTAAATGGCAATAGAAAGCCATAGGAATATATAAGTACGGTGCACAGTATCACACAAATGGTACTGGGCTTTTCTTCTCTCTAGGACTGAATTATGAGTCAATTTACGACTGGAAACAGAAAGTAAATATGTCTATATTGGGAACTGTATTGATACAGCTATTAGTAAACTGTCAGTGCTGTTATCCTATGATTTAACAGGAAAAAGTCAAGAAAGCAATACTGGCAGGTTAGAAGACAGCTGTTCAGTAGGTGGTTAATGTTTAGAAATAATGTATTTCTGAAACTTAAAATAGATATTCAAGTTTCAAATAAAGGTATCCTTCCTCCTCCTGCGCAAATATTTTCTTACACAGGATTCTGGGAGCAAACAAGTGTTCATCACCATAGTGTCTTAAACATCATTCAACCCAGAAGCCAAGATGATTATCACAAGAGTGACTTAATTGGTCTCACTAACAGTCCGCTCACGGAGCCGGTCTCTGGACTGCAGACTCTGAATTCAGAGTGCAACAAAAACAAGTTTCTCATTCAAAAAGCAACAAATATACCTCACTTCCAGTCCTGAGTCAAAAAGCAGTGAACAACTCTAGAGATGAACCAAAACCCCAGGAGCCAGAACAGTACCAAAAGCAGTGTATTCAGAAATGCAGCTGTATGATGCTTCCCAAGGTTTGTTGCTCCAGCATATCGTAAAGAAGCACTAATAAAGACATACATGGCTCATCACACTTACAACACAGATTTCCTGTTCAACAGTAATTTGAAGCTTGAGATATTATTTCCTCATTTTCAAGATCTCTGGAGGACCAGATTCTGATATGCAATTTCTTTTCTCAGGTTTAACTGTAATCTAGGGAGGACTAGATCAGCATCACTACAAAAAAAAAAAAAACAAAACAGGACACACTTGGAGAAGCCTATCACTACAGCTTTTCAAATGCTAGCCCAGAACTGTACGGGCCCCTTTCACTAGGATCTTGCTAGTATAATGTCCTTCCCTTCCAATTTCTTCATAATTCTACCTACTTCTCTGCATTCGTTCCTTAGCATCCTACACATCCATCCTCAGCTTCACTCTTCTTTTAATACCAACATTGCCTAACCCATTGTATTTTATTTAGTACTACACCAGTGCTCAGGGCAAGAGATAAAAGCTGTCTTTTTCCAAAAACTCTGCATGCTATGGGGATTTTAAAGAACATTCCTCCATCCATTTTCAGCCAAGTAAGAAAGGAAGTGTACCAGTGCAGCAGAGATTTCAAGTACTTCCAAGGATAGCAGAAGGCTAAAAAGAGAGCATCTTCCCTTGAGCAAGTATTTATGAGCTTACGATAAAAAGATAAGCATTCCATCATCAGAATAATGTCTTCTAAGAACCTACAATAAAGAAACATCCTGTCAGAGAAACAACTAGGTTCCAACAGAGCCATAAACCAGATGGCTGCAGTACACATGCCGCAACTGATTCCAGTTTACTGCACTTCAGACATTGCCAATTCATGAAACAGCCCTGCTTGCTGAACCAGTCTGCAAATGGATTTTCCTTCAAATTCCAACAAAGTGTTGCTGCATTTGAGTATTTCAGCACTGCAGTCCCACACATTTGTTGACTGTATTAGATACTCAGTTTCTTAAAAATATAGAGTAAGAAAAACACCCTCAGCAGAAATAACCAAACCTAATTCCAACAGACTTGGTGAAAGAGATCCTTCTCTTTCCCACAGACAGGCACTGAAGGATAGAAGATGAATCAACAGCACATTCTGATTCTAAGGAATAAAATCCCAGGTGTCTACCGAAAATTCCAAGGCACAGAAAACGAAACTGTGTTTATGATCAGCCTGAAAATTCATTTTACTCCAATGCAACATTTTCTGGAAGACTTACACAGACTGAAGTAAAGATACATCCTGAGGCATCAAGGTATAATCAATAGAATTGTATTTGTTACCAGCCTAAAAATTCATTTTACTCCAATGTAACATTTTCTGGAAGCCTTAAACAGAACTAAGTGAAGATATGTCCTCAGAATGCTGTGGTGTTGTTGGTTTTTGGGTTTTTTTTACTGACAGCAACAATAAAGCTTCTGTGAGGAAGAAATCCCTCCTGAGTTCAGTATACAGAAAATTCAGTCTTGAATTTATTGAATCTCTAAACTGTTGCTTCTCCCCTGGAAACCCCATTTCTCATTCCTCAAGCACAGCCTACATTCTTCAAACGTTTATAAAAATTAATTTAATTTTCTCATTTTCTTCTGGCCTGGTGGGTTTCAGTTAGAAGGAGTTTTAGCATGAACACCCCAAAGAACAGAACACTGTTGCGTGAAAAAGCCTATAACATTTGTTTTGCCAACCCAGCAGCACATCCAAATATTGGTCCCAGCATCATCTTAATTTCCCAGCACTGTGTTTCCTCTGCCTCCTCTGTCTTTTAATTACACAACTGCTACCTTGGTTTTCCTTTACATCTCTACCCCGGATAATGATACACACCACATTCATACTGGGTACCCCCACAGTCCCCCCTCTCTCAGTCTCTGTATCCTCCCTGTTCTGATGCTGGGCAGCTTTCAAACAACTCTGTAAGAAAAGTTTTTGTTTGGTTGGGTTTTACCTTTCTACATGCTTCACAAGTTTTGAGCCCAGTGTTAATCTCAGCTGTTTCCTCTCTGTTTCTTTAACTCTGGCTGCTGAAGAACCTCGTGTTTATATTTTGAAAGGAAATGTGCAAAGCAAACATCTGCAATCTGGTGAATAAAATAGCAAGTTCTCATCTAATGCTTTGCCATATATGAAAAGTAGAGTTGTTTCCAGTAGTTGCTTCTATTTCATAGAAAAGCGCAGACTATTCCCATCACCACATCCCACAGCCTATTGCATAAGCTCATTTAATTCCAAACAGAGATTAGAAAACCTGCGCCTATGGTTATTCTTCAGAAGCTGTTCCACAGACTGCCTGTTCTCATCACTGATGTTGTCTTCTACTACCACCTTTAATATTCTTACAGCAACTTTATTTCATTTTTTTCTGTGTAAACAGTAAGCTTAACCATACCATCTTCCTCCCTGCTGCTTATCTCCCTTTTCCCCAACATAGTTCAGGCATAAACAGGTTCAGATAAGGATTAAACCAATTCACAGAGTCATCACTGCCAGCTATTAAACATAGCACCTACTGCTCAGAAAGGCTTTAAGTCATGGATAGCTGCAAGAGTAAAACAGAGTCGCAGGAGCTCTACACACATCTTACACCTCTGCTTTGGGCTCCACGACATCCCTTTAGAAACATTCTATTGGGGCATACCTCGTATGGCTATTTTTACTTTTTTGAAACAGCATTGTTCCTTTCCTCCCATCCCACACTGCAAAGCCTCTCTTTTGAAAAATCAACAAACTCATACAGTCCTCTTTCAAGACATTCTCATATTTTCCCCATTACCATTGAAGTGTCTCTAGTATCCAATCTAATCTGAAGTCTCCTTTCTTGAAGATGGATAGCCACAGCTGTCCTCTGCAGGAATGTATTTCCTCTTAGTCACTAGCTATTTCCTAAATTTAGTTTTTATTCTATTGTTTTCAACTTCATGACCTCTGCTCTGTACAACAGCTTTGTACCTGTTTCCTCGCTGCTGCTGGTGCAAACCTAATTTTCTGCTGTTCACCATAGCGTTTTCCCCACAGTGAGATATCACAACACCTTGAACATGCATCTGAATCAAGTCTGGACGTGCATATCAGCAGCTTTTAATCTCAATTACTGAAAATCACCAGTCAGTAAACAGTTCTGGTGAACTGCAGAAACAAAGTTACCCTGAATCTAACCCATCCTGTACATCAGGTTTTGACAGAAAACTGAGTAATGGCTTAACTACATTCTCCTGAACTAATTGCAACACAGCAGCTCTTTCCTTAGCCACAAAATGGTTGCAACAAAGCCAAGCTATCAATGATGCAATTGCTTGAATGCTATAAACTGTAAAGATCACCTCACAACTCTCAAAGACAAATCTAGAAACACTAAGCAACTGAGGAGGAACAGAGGTGTTTCACCAGCATCACCTGTGTCTGATAAATAAGACATTGCAAATAGCCTCAGTCCTAACTATGACTTATTTAAGACTGCACACAACAAAAATACAAGCATAAACAACGTCCATTTGGGGTCTCAAGATAAGCTTAAGACAGACAAATGACCTGTGATTTACTGGTACCCCTTGCTGGATCATCCAGTCTGGCTTTCCCAAACAACTAAAGCCTGTGGCAGGTACAAGATTTGACTCTTTATATTCCTATAATGGCTAACGTGGATTTGCAATAAGTCTGTTTATACTTGACAAACTTTTCTGATTCCTTAGACTTGGTCCATGAAGCTGGAACGCCAAGAAAATGAAGAGTGAACAGAAACAGCCCCACCTTCCTACTCAAGATTTAACACATATGGCAGAAATTTTCATTCCGTTTAGACTAAGATATTTTGCTCTCAAGCAGGAACATAAATTTGAGACCAAATCCAGAAACTGTTTTATAAGCAAATACAAATAACCTGATCAAGCCAGATGCCCAAATTAATACTTTTTCTCTCTTTTTCCTCCCCTTAATCCAATTCTTTTTAAACTTCTCCATTGCTTGTGTAAGGTCTCATTTATCCTGCAAAACCACAGCTCTTTGAAGAGTTCTTCTTTGAAGAGAGGGCTTAGTTTTTGAACGCTGCAGAAAAAAAACCAACAAAATAAACAGAAATGCTAGTAGGAAGACGAAATACTGTCCATACGCTGAAACACCACCTTCCTATCTGACCCATCATCTGTGCTGGCTCAGCCCCAGGTCTCTAAAGCAATTCAGCCATGAGACCCTACTGTTAAAAAGACAAAATGCCTTGCCAATCTGTACTTGGTACAGAGAATCTGAGCTAAGTCCATTGTCTCTGACCGTTAAGCAGGAAACCAGTGCTGCTCTGAAGTGCTTAAAACAGGAAAACTGGCTGATGGCTCAAACAAGTAACTTGACTGGGATACCAGGGCAGGAGGGACAGAAGAGAAGTCAGAATACCCAGCCTAGCACCCTATTTATCCAGCCCAACACCTCTCTTCCATGCAGGATATGTTCGGAAACACATCACCTCAGCTGACACTGAGAAAGATTAAACATTACATGGCTTAAAATCAAACAGACGTGAAAGACTCAAGAATTAAACCTTCTGAAGCACATCAAGCACAACGTTGCAAAAAAGTTCTTCTGCATCAGTGGCGCCCTCTGTGTCCACAGGGTGATGGGGGTAGGCTTAGCCCAATGGCACCTTTTCAGAAAATATGCAGTCATTTTAATAAATCATAGAATCATAGAATGATTTGGGTTGGAAGGGACCTCAAAGATCATCTAGTTCCAACCCCGTTGCCATGGGCAGGGACACCCTCCACTACACCAGGTTGCCCAAAGCCTCAAATCACTGAGGTATCATCTATATGTTTTGGAAAGCTCTGGTAACACTTTTGGAACAGTCACACTCCACCGGCCACTACTCACTCTGTAAGCAGTCAGCGTTGAGCAAATCTTGGCACTTCTCATGGCACTTGACTCCACATTCACCGCAGCGCATTCCCTGCCGTGCAATACCCCACAGCAGTCCCTCACATTCATAGCAGTAGGTAGGAGTTGTGGCTGTCCACACTTCAAAGTTGTGTGGGGTTGTACAAGAGATGGGGTAAATTAAGGCTTGCAAGGTCTTCTTATAGACATGAGATTTCTGAAAGGCAAAAGCACAGATCCAACACCCAGGAAGGACACTGAACCTATTTTGCTGGTTAACACAGGAGTTTTAAGGAAAAAGGCATGAGCAGTGCAATAAATCTGTGCATTTGAGGTAGCCAAATTTATCAAAATTTTACAAGCAGCAGCAGAGGACACCCTTCCAAAAATGTTTCTCCGGGCATTTTAAAAAGTGAGGGAGATGAAAGAAAATAATAAAGGTTTGTGGATAAGGAATATATTGCATAAAGCAAGCTTCACACACTGTCCCCCATGGTAGATAGCACAGAAGGAAATGGTAAGATTACATTTTTCAGGATCATATTGACACATTAAATGTTATTTTTTACATGCTTGGTTTCTTTAAACAAATGATACAAGAAGCTTTGCATCTATATTTTTAGATATCTGTGAAGCTGGCTCTGCATCCCAGAGAGCCAAATTCCCTTAATTTGCTTACTAAAAGTTAACATGAGCCAAGCAACCCTCCCACTTACCAGCTCTTCATCTTTGAGAGATGTTCTAGTGGCCATTGCTGAGGTAATTCCGGCTTTCCGGGACTGAACCAGTGACTAAGAAGGAAGAAAGTTTGTTACTCATCACCAATATTCAGAAATGCACTGGTACTACATGCCCAGACTCTTGTCATCCCAGACATCAAACTAGCAGCCTATTACATTCAAGCTGGTTTCTTAAATGATAGCTCACATCTCGGCAAGTCAAATGCATACTCTGAAAGGTCTCCAACTTGTTTACATCTGCCCACAACCAGTCTCACTCTCAAATTTTTATTTGTTTCTCTCCTAAGAACAGTGAATGAAACCCAAGTCCACATCTACACTTCCATGTTCTGGTAGCAATGGTAACCCTGCCATTGCCTAAGGTCGCTACGTGGGACTCACTCTCCTATATCTAACTTCATTCATATCCAAAAGAAGATTGTTTCACCAGTTTTACAACATACACAACACCCCCAAACGTGACAGTGACAGGGTTACAAATAAACAGAACAAAAAAAAGAACAGAGTGGGCTGGGAGCACAGGTTTGAATGTGCTGGTGTATCACATTCACTGGCCATCACTGAACACAATGAACAGCATTTTCCCCTCAAGATGGCCTCTTTTGCATCACGCCAACACTAAGTTCTGCAGCCTCGGACAGCCCAGGGCAGCATCTTTGCAGCACCTCACACTGGCATACAAACAATTTCTTCAGCAAGCCACTCCAGTTAGATGAAGGCAGGGAAGGAAATTAAAGCTAGGAACATCTGCTTTGAAGTCATCAAATCCTATGAGAAACATCCATTTATGCTTTGCTTTATGCAGTTTGAAGGTAGACTGAAAAAGTTCATTTTATCAGTGATGGAGCAGGACAGAGTGCTGGATACACACGCACTGCAATATCGCAGGTTCAAAATAAAAAACAAAAAAGTGGAGGGAAAATAAGGTGAAATAAGTTTTGTTTCTGGTGAACACTTAGTGGATAGTCTTTAGCTCCACTTACCATGGCCTGCAGGGAGAGAGAATGAAAGCATACAAAGGAAGTAACACAAGTTAACGCCATTATTGCAAAGATTTAAGACACAAGCAGTTAGTAAGACATGTACTAAGCTTCCCATGCATAAGCTGGCAGAGAGAATTGCATGCGTCTTTTCACAGGAATTACAAGATATGGAAACTTAGGTCTTTCAGCTGTTAGAGCATTTCTCCCAACTATGGAATCGCCATGCGTACTGAACACAGCCAACAGAAAACCATTTGTCCTGCAGAGGCCTTATTTCACCATATCACACGAGCATATGAAATTTGTCCTTATTACTCGCTTGGTTCCTGTGTTTCCTCAGTGCAGAAGGCTACTTGCAATATTGCAAATTACTTCAAAAATCCAAGCACATATGCTCGTTTATCTATCCTCTGAAATTCCAATCTCCTGGTAAGTTGCCAAACCTCACATGGATATTGTGGCCTTCCCCAAAGTATATGATTTTTAGGAAAACATTTTAAAATAATGCAGGTCTCAAAATAATCAAATATTATGTGTAGGAAAAAAAAAGAAGAACATGAAAAGTATCTTAATTCTGTCAAATCAATAAAACTGTCTACAAAATCGCAGTTCATTTTCACTGAGATTTTTCCAAGCACAACTCCTAACCCCTTACTGTAAGAATTAATTTAATTAAACAGGAAACCTCCAAATTCTTGAAGTGACAATCAATGTTAACATATGCCAAAAAGTAAAGCCATTTGCACCAATGACTGTGTGGCTGAGGAAAAATATCTTACCAGATCACTGACAAGTGGAATTGGCTTTTTTTTGCGTAAATCCGGCATGCTATCAATGCCATAGAGACCACCTGCAGGCCTGGAAATTCAGGAGAGGAGACAAAAAAAAAAAAGAAAAATAAGATCAAAAATTTTCAAAAATTTCACCACCAGTGATAGACAGTAAACAGAGAAGCAAAAAGCTTCCTTTAAACATAAGTCTCCTTGCTAATATCATAGTCAACGGGAAAAAGTAGAATCAGTTCATGGCAAATGCAGCTTTATAATAAACTGAAGCTGTTAACACACTAAAAAAAAGGTCATTTTCCTATCCTCACAGCTGAGGGTCTGAGCTAGCTCAGAGTACGCTGGGCATGCACGTGCAGAGTACCCAGTGCTTCACTCACCACTGCCAGCACAGC